GATTTGCGCAGTGGAGATCGGCCGCCATCACTGCGTTCAAGCTAACGTTAGCCTAAACATACTCGGAGGAGCGACTGGCACAACATTACAAAGACTGACCTGCTCCCCACTGAGGAGGTCACCGAGTTGCCCTGCAGTTTTTCTCCTGGTGAAGAGAGCAAACTAGTTGTTGTCTTTCATGTAGTCTTTATGTCAACTTTGTAACGAAAGTCGTTCTAAGTAATCATGTCCAACATCAAAGGCGGCACCAAGAAGGACACCAAGATGAGGATACGAGCCTTCCCTGTAAGTATTTAATAATATTTAGTTGAAGACACGACACACGGATGGATGACAGATCTGTGTGCTAGCAGCTAACTAGCTGCTCACACGAGAAAACGTCATCGTCAAAGTAAAGCTGCTACCTACCTGGACAATAGGCTTGAATGTTGCTTAAGTTTAATGGTGTGGTTCGGTGATTTGATAATGTCAGTATCGTTTTCCATGTGTTGACTGGTGTAAGCTTGTTAAGTAGCTGGCCTGTTGACAGACTTCGGGTTTGCTAAGTTTTAGTAGTAACCTTAGCATTTTCGGCTGCTCGTGCTAAATTTGCCATTTAAAATAGCTTTACGTGCTAAATCCACAGTGAGACTTCACAGGATGTGTCTCAGGTTAGTTGTCACCCGTGTTTTCATTGACATCCTTGTTGGGGAACCTGGATTTATAAATTATCTACCATAAGAACCAGCCTACAGAGCATCTTTTTGCATTTAGTTTGGGGTGGAAGTTAATCTATGGGTGCCAGAGTGAGTCCGAGCTGGTAGTTGAGATTTTTTTTATTGTTCCCAAAACTGTTCTTTATTATTAGGTTTGTCAAGAAAGTGTTAAACATTTTTAAACTATTATGATTTCTTCTCCCCGTGTTGTATAGATGACGATGGATGAGAAGTATGTGAATAACATCTGGGACCTTCTGAAGAACGCCATCCAGGAGATTCAGAGAAAGAACAACAGTGGACTGAGCTTCGAGGAGCTATACAGGAATGCCTACACCATGGTCCTCCATAAACACGGAGAAAAGCTCTACACCGGCCTGAGGGAGGTTGTCACTGAGCACCTAATCAACAAAGTAAATCAGAGTTTTCGTCTTCAGTTACGATCTTTAGGAAATAATTTGCTGATTGTTAGTTTCACAAGAGAGAACTAAATTTTGCTTTCTATGCCTTCAGGTGCGAGAAGATGTTCTAAACTCCCTAAATAATAATTTTCTGCAAACACTAAATCAGGCTTGGAATGACCATCAAACTGCTATGGTTATGATCCGAGACATTCTCATGTACATGGTAGGTGTTTTGGTTTGTGTTATTTGTTACAGATCTGAAACAACGTTCATCAGCACTTGTTTATTTTGTTATTTGTGGCAAAAGTGAATTTTCTTTTCTTTATCACATAGCAAATCATATTTTTGTTTCTTTGTTTACCTATTTATGTTAAGAAACTGCCTTTGTTCTCACCTCTGGCTATCGTTCCCTTGTGCCCTCTTCTGGACTTTGTTGTTTTCTTATTTTTTGGGGGCTCAAACAATAAGACTTTGTTTTCACGCCTGTTTCATAGGAAACCTGGCAGCACTAGTTTTTTCACCTTAGCCAACAGCAGTACAAAGTGTTTGAGAAATTGTATGAGAGTGATTGAGCCCCTGAGATAAGCTCATGTTTACGCTTTAACACAAGCACAGTCTGTAAAGAGAGTGCAGAGCTGTGCTGGGATATTTTTGTTCAACTCATTCCTCTTTTCTGTTCTGCTTCAAACCTGATTGCTACTTTTCTGTTTTTCAGTTTGCTTTTGCAGAATCATCAGAAGCCTGTACTTTAAAAGCAGTAACTAGACTTAGGAACCTAGATTTAGGTTTAATACATTACTTGTTGTGTTGCCTGTGATGAAAAATCTCTATGAAAGCTCAGTCAAGATGAAAAAAAAGAAAAGTAAAATGGTCAATTTAGACCAAGGGTGGACACCTCCAGTTCTCAGGAGCTGCTATCCAACTTGTTTTGTTTTTTCCTGGATGAATCCATCCATCTTTGTCTGCTTATCTGGAGTCGGGTCGCGGGGGCAGTAGCCTAAGCAGAGAGGACCAGACTTCCTTCTCCCCAGCCACTTGGGCCAGCTCCTCTGGGGGAATCCCAAGGTGTTCTCTGGCCAGATGAGAAACATAGTCCCTCCACCGTGTCCTGGGTCTTCCTGTAGGACTCCTCTCAGTTGGGCGTGCCCAGAAAACCTCACCAGGGAGGCGTCTAAGAGGCATCCTTATCAGATGCCCAAGCCACCTCAACCGGCTCCTATCAATGTGGAGGACCAGCGGATCTAGTCCAATCCCCTCTTGGATCACCAAACTTCTCACCCTATCTCTAAGGGAGAGCCCAGCCACCCTGCGGAGAAAACTAATTTCAGCCGTTTGTTTCCGTGATCTCGTTCTTTCAGTCACTACCCAAAGCTCGTAACTGTAGAGGAGAGTTGGAACATAAATTGACCGGTAAATCAAGAGTGTTACCTTCTGCCACCACAACAGATCGGTACAACGCCTGCATCACTGCAGACACAGCAAAAATCCGCCTATCGATCTTGTGCTCCATCCTTTCATCAAACACGAACAAGACTCTGAGATACCTAAATTCCTCCACTTGGAACAGGACCTTGTCCCCGACCCTGAGAAGTCATTCTACCCTTTCCCGACTCAAGACCATGGTCTCTGATTTAGAGAAGCTGATTCTCATCCCAGCTGCTTCACACTCTGCTGCTAACCACTTTAGCGAAAGCTGGAGATCACATTATGAGGAAGCCAACTGCACCACATTATCTGCAAAAAGCAGAGACCTGATCCCTAGGTCACCAAAACCGATCCCCTCACCACCTTGGCTGCATCTAGAAATCCTGTCCATAAAAGTTATGAACAGAATTGGTGACAAAGGGCAGCCTTGGCGGAGTCCGAATCTCACTGGGAACAATGCCAACTTACTGCTGGCAATGTACACCAAGCTTTGACACCTGTCATAGAGGGACCTAACAGCCCATATCAGAGGGCCTGTTCCCCATACTCCCAGAGTACCCCCCACAGGGCCTCCCGAGGAATGTACAAAACACACGTAGATTGGTTGGGACACTCCCACGTAGCTCCCAGGTCCCTCCTAAAGGTATAGAGCTAGTCCAGTGTTCCACAGACAGGACGAAAACCACTTTGCTCCTCCTGAATCTGAGGTTCGACAATCTGACGGACCCTCCTCTCCAGAACCCCTGAATAGACCTTACCAGGACACAAGCATCTGGCTGCAGACATCAGCTGGCGTCTTTGCCGTGACCGGAAATGACGTAACCGGAAAAAGACATCGGGTCATTACCTTCGCTGGAAGTCATTACCTTTGCCGGATGTAGTTTGGATTTGACGAGAAAAACCATACCGTGTCGTTTTTCTCTTCGATATGTACATAAACATATACATATCTAAGAGAAAAAGTATACGGTGGGTCATTACCTTAACCAGAAGTAATTACTTTCACAGGAAGTAGTTTTTTTTTAAAACAACTTACCGGAAAAAGCTTTTTCTTTTGGATTTTTTTTTCTCTTCAAATCTGGGCAACTTTTAAATAACGTTGTTATCTACGTTGCATGAAAATTGAATATTAAATCCCTTTGTCCTTCAGACAGGGAATTTTTATATATATATATGATCATAATTACAACAATAAAAGGCTGTAAAGTGAATAAAAAACATATGGAAAAAATGAGAACACATTAACGAGAACACATTAAACTAAGTCTTTTCAAGATATGCAAACAAAATAGTAGTTACTTAAATTCAGCTTTATTGTTAAGCCCAAGATGAACTTTGACCTGCACCAATTGCTAAAGTACAGGACTCCCAGAAGCAGTGAAAACATTTCAGCAACACTCCTCTCTCACCAGCAACAAAAATGAGTTTAATATCCATAACACTGTCCTATATGTGTATCACAGCAGCTCATTGCAAAAGAATTTAACTACTGCAGCTGATAACTATTTAGCTAGTTGGTATTTATTTTGAGTGAAAGACAATAAAACCAAAGAAACACTTAATTTCACAACCATTTTATTTTGGGTACAAATGAATTTGCTGAAGCAAGGCTTTCTCAGTTGTATATCGATTCATCCCCTCCCATTTTTCCAACACTTTTGTTACCTGAAAAACATGCAGGATAAATTCATACACTGTCAAATGTTTTCGAAAAGTAACTTGCATACCAATCACTGCTGAAGACTGCTTTGTACCTCTGGAACGAGGACATCAAACACCAAGTCCAGAAACTGGAACTCTCCCTTCTTTATTAGTTTATCTATTCCCGAGCATGAACCAGTCCGCTCCATCAGCTCGTCAACCCATAAAACACGTTAACATAAAAATGAACAAAACATTCCTCTCAGCATTAGACAACGGACCCAAGTGGCCCACTGGCCACGCATCCAGATAAATAAATGTGATGCAGCTTATTGTAAGTCAGTATACATTTACCTGTGCATCAGCAAAGTGGAACATCAGTGGCTTTAGTTTTTGCTTTTAATTTAAGCGAGACACCTGGATTGTGCCACAGATGCATGCGGCCAGACTTCACTCTACCGCTGCAGAGATCCTTGTACAAAGTCTGAGTAGAAGACAAGTTAAAAATAAGCAACATTACCACAGAAAACAATGGATTGCATTATCATATGTCCAAATTTAGAATCTTAATTTATTATACCTAAACATTACCTTTATTTCACCATCTGAAATCATTGCCTGGGTTCCATTTTGGGTTCCTTTTTTCATAGCCTCGATTGTCCTGTAATATAGATAAAAATACATCTTATTCGCAAATGAAGAATTCACGCGCATGTAAGGAGTTTTGTCTGTGTCACTTGAAGAAGTCCTATATTCATTTTAGATCTATATTTAAGGCCTCTAACTCCTGAATGATTTGCAGCTAAATGTGCTTAAATCCGGCAATATTTACATAAACCATACCCGATCAAAGCAGTCAGTCGAAAAACATATCTATTTTTTAAAAGGTTAGAATTATTCTGAAACAGAATCAGAAGAAGGGAGGCATTAATTAGAGAAGCGGCTACTATTTCAAAGTTATTGCACCTGTTGCAGGACCCCTGATTTGTGCAACCACAGTTGAATGACCCAGCACAATACCACACACAATAACTGAAAAATATTTAGAGATATGAAAGCTAAGCTTGTCCAAAAAAACATTTATTTTTGGGTGCACCGGACCAGTTCCAGTGTGGGCCAGATGCTGAAAAATAAATTCATAAGTCTTTTTTGAAGTTTCACCCATCACAAACAGTTTTATGCATTCTGCTACGAGCCTAGAATAATCTAAAACAGGTTTGAAGAGTGTATGTGTTGTAGTTTTTGAGCTAGAGCAGATTAAAAATGGTCAGAGTCGAGAAAAATTGGGTGTATTAGCCCTTTAGCCATTTCCCGAATCGGAAGCTAACTTTAGCCTGTATGAAAACTAATGATTGAAACCACTTATAAATTTCTGAAAATCTACGCTTTTTAATTTAAAAAAGGGTATTCATAATGTTTCATTCAAGTCAGTATTAGAAGTCGTGGTCTTTATATCATATCTAAATTATATATAAAGTTAATATTATTACTTTAACTGTTTTAACAAACAGGGAGTCCAGAAAAATCAAATGGCTAAGTTAAAGCTAAGCTACAATTGCTGATTGCTTTATTTATGTAGCTTTTGTGTTAGCTTGTGAACTCCCTGCATTAGTTTTAAGACTGCGTGTTAATATTGATACAATTTGCTATGAAACGTGGTGCCTTTGCAATAATTCTCAGGTAAAGCTTTAAATGCTATAGTGCCTACATTTAAGCACTAAGAACGGTTACAACAATTAGTTAATTTCATCCTTACCTTTCCTCTTTGAAACCCGCCGAGTACGGTTGAAACAAAAGCGGCCGCCAAAAAACACCAACTTCTGGCCGAGGTCTTTCGCTCGTCGATTTTCCAGTAAAAGTAATGACACGCCATCTTGTTCTCGCTAGAAAGTTCTTCCAGTGACACGCCAGCTGATGCCTGCAGCCAGGTCCTACTCTACCAGGGAGGCTCAGGAGTGTGATCCCCCTGTAGTTGGAACACACCCTGCCGTCCACCATCCCGGTTTGCCAATCCAGCTTCAACACACCTGATTTTAATCAGCAGCTGATTAACAGTCTTCTGCAGAGCTCGGTGAGCTGCTGAGCAGGTAAATCAAGTGTGCTGGAACAGGGAATCAACCAAAACATGCTGGATAGTGGCCCTTGACGACCAGAGTTGCCCACCCCACATTCAGACATTCCTTTGCTGATTGGCACCCATTTGAGGTTTTAATCATCAAAAAAGAAAACGTATTTATTTGGAAACGTTTTTGACTACTAAGTAACATGTTACTGGCGTCACTGATCACCAGTCGGTCAATAGATAATGTAATCGGGACCTCAGTTAAATTTGAACAATTTTATTTAAAAATCAAAAGAAAAAGCATTTAGGAATCAAAATTTTCATCTCTCTGTGATGTGTGACTTGGGTAGGAACAACCCCTAAAATCACTCCTGCATCGACTTATGGATGCTCCACCTAGTCTTCCTACATCAGTGGTTCTCAATCCTTGTCCTGGAGGACCTGTATCCAACATGTTTTGGCTTTAACCCTGCTTCTACACACCTGATTTCCATCAGCAGGTGATTAACAGGCTTCTGCAGAGCCTGATGAGCTGCAGCACAGGTGATTCATCCACTGGCTCAAGCGTGCTGTAGCAGAGGAACAATAGAAACATGCTGGATGCCGGCCATCCAGGACCAGGATTGAGAACCACTGTTCTACAGTCTAACCTACAAAATGTATTTTTAGAACGTTTCATTGTTATATTTTTTGTATTTATTTATTTGTTCAAATTTAGTTAAATTATTTATTTTTCACACATTTTGTAACATTTTCTTCATTTAGGACAGAGTTTACGTTCAGCAAAACAACGTGGAGAATGTATACAACCTCGGCCTCATCATCTTCAGAGACCAGGTGGTGCGTTACGGATGCATCCGGGACCACCTACGACAAACGCTGCTCGACATGATTGCGCGAGAACGGAAGGGCGAAGTTGTAGACAGGTTAGAAAAAATATGTCAGATTTATGAGATTATTTAGGACATTAAATTATGCGACTTGATCTTTATCTATCCACCTTCAACATCAGGGGTGCTATCAGAAACGCCTGCCAGATGCTGATGATTCTTGGCCTGGATGGCAGGTCTGTGTATGAGGAGGACTTTGAGGGGCCTTTCTTAGAAATGTCTGCTGAATTCTTCCAGGTGAGTTCATGATGAACGTTTGGTCCTGTTGTTTTTCATCTTGGAACAGCTTTTCAGTGAAATGATGTACACTATTGAACCTTTTTAGATGGAGAGCCAAAAGTTCCTTGCAGAAAACAGTGCCAGTGTCTACATAAAGAAGGTAGAGGCCAGAATCAATGAAGAGATTGAGCGAGTTATGCACTGTCTGGACAAGTCTACAGAAGAACCCATCGTCAAGGTAGTGGAAAGGGAGCTGATTTCTAAACACATGAAAACCATTGTGGAGATGGAGAATTCTGGCTTGGTCCATATGCTCAAGAACAGCAAGACAGAAGGTGACAAAAACTGTATGATCATCGTAAAATTCTCAATTTAAGTTAAATACGCAAGTGATTTTGTAATGTTCTGTTTCTCCCTCAGACCTCGCGTGCATGTACAAACTGTTCAGTCGTGTACCGAATGGCTTGAAAACAATGTGTGAGTGTATGAGCGCCTACTTGAGAGAACAAGGTAAAGCTCTGGTGTCAGAAGAGGGAGAGGGCAAGAACCCCGTTGACTACATTCAGGTACATCCGTAGTCCAGCGTCCGTAAAAACAAACCGTTTGAAGATTTTCTTCAACAGGAAATCTGCTTACAGTTGTGTCACCTTTTTGCTGTTTTTTCATCAGGGTCTGCTGGATTTGAAGACTCGATTTGATCATTTCCTCCTCGAGTCTTTCAACAATGACAGACTCTTTAAACAAACCATAGCTGGAGACTTTGAGTATTTTCTCAACCTCAACTCCCGCTCACCAGAATACCTGTCCCTCTTCATTGATGACAAGCTCAAGAAGGGAGTGAAAGGGGTATGAGACTTTATCTCTCTCTCTCACACACGCGCGCACACACACACACAAACTTAGTTATTTTTGGTTTTACTTGATTCAAGATTAAAGTCTCTTTCCCGTCTGTTTTGTTTGAGCAGTTGACGGAACAGGAGGTGGAGTCGATTCTCGACAAAGCCATGGTGTTGTTCCGGTTCATGCAAGAGAAGGACGTCTTTGAAAGATATTACAAACAGCATCTTGGCCGCCGACTCCTCAGCAACAAGAGCGTCTCAGATGATTCGGAGAAGAACATGATCTCTAAGCTAAAGGTAAGGGAATTTTAAAAGGGTTTAAATTACTGATGCACCGATATGAAATTTTTGGACCGATATTAAGATCACTGTTATGGCCGATAACCGATATCTGCAGATACCGATATACTGACATTGATGCTTCTAAAATCAGCAGATTTTGTATAGAATGAAAATTGTTAAAGCTGAATTTACATTATGTACACACAACACACACATGTATGGTTCTGAGATGATTTCATTCACTGTTCACATGACTAAACAATTACACATCAACCCCCTCACCCTCTGAAACAGGCAAACAAATGGAGATAAGATGACAAAAATATCGGTTGTTAATATCGACCCGGTTTAATTTATCGAACCGATTTCGATATGTAAAAAATTATTAACATCGGCCGATATTGATGCCGATATATTGTCCATCCCTAGTTTAAATCTAGATATTTCTTTATCGTAGGCTCATTCTAGTCTAAATCTCTGTTTTCGGTGTCTTTCTCCCTCACAGACGGAATGTGGCTGTCAGTTCACCTCGAAACTGGAAGGGATGTTCAGAGACATGAGCATCTCCAACACCACTATGGATGAGTTCAGACAGCACATACAAACCACATCGGTGAGACAGACGGCAGTGGGGGGGGGGGTGACATTCAGCCTGTCCAGTTTTATACTATAATTGTTCGGTTGCTTTAAAACAAAATAAAGCTTGGAACAAAGAACAGCTGGTGGTGTTAGCCTGAGTCCATGTTTATCACAATAGCATTTTATGGCATGGCAGAAATCACAAACATGTTTTTCTTTCAGGCGTCTCTAAGTGGTGTGGACCTCACAGTAAGAGTCCTCACTACTGGTTACTGGCCTACACAGTCTGCAACACCAAAATGCACCATCCCCCCTGCTCCTAGGCACGCCTTTGAAGTTTTCAGAAGGTGAGGCTTTCAGCGAGATAACAAAAGGTGTTGCTGCCATGGACATTATATACCTAGACACAACATGGACTGGCGCTGCCTATTGGAGCTGGTGTAACTGCGGGTTGCCATCTTGGATGAGTTCCCATTCACCCCAGTGCATTTATTTCTACCGAGGAAGTTGTTAATCCAACTAAAAAAACACATTTTATTAAGGTTTTTCACAATATCAGGTATGCCATGATAACTAAATTATGCATAAAATCAATAAAAATATAAAATCCCAACAGGTAGGCTAGAAAAGTCACGTGATCTGTGTTCATTAGTGTGCTAGTCGTTGCAACTGTAGACTGCATAAAAACAGGAAGAGTTGCTCACCCTGCATTGGCTCCAGTTGGGTTTGGAGAGTGAGGAACCGACCCAATGTGGCGGCGACGCTGTTTACACTCTGCAGCGCCCAATGGGGCGTCAACGTAATCATGTGGTGAGTATTTACTGAAAAAGTATGTTTGCTTTTATTTTTGCAGGTTTTACCTCGCCAAGCACAGTGGAAGACAGCTCACACTGCAACACCACATGGGTGGGGCGGACCTAAATGCAACTTTCTATGGAACTATTAAAAAGGTAAACAAACTATTTAGTGAAGCTTTAATTTTAACTTTAGAGACTCATCATTTGTTTCCCTTTTTTTCTGCAGGAGGATGGCTCGGAGGTGGGTGTAGGTGGAGCCCAGGTTACAGGTTCAAACACCCGAAAGCACATCCTGCAGGTCTCCACCTTCCAGATGACCATCCTCATGCTCTTCAACAACAGAGAAAAGTGCACTTTTGAGGTGGGAGCACAATTCAACAGTTAATCGCGATTGGCCACAACGTAATGATCACCAGGGTCCCGTTTGTTGACCCGATTCATGAAGGAATGAATTCCACAAAACCTGAGATTGTTTGCTGGAGTGTAACACCAAACTTCAGCTGCAGATTTAATTCCAACGTCAAAACTTGAACTGCAACTATTTTTAAACAGGTTTATTTTTTTGCTGTGTCATTGTGAAAGCGGCCACTGGTGGCAGACAGGGGTCAGTATGCACCCTGATCAGTTTGCTGCTGTTTCTCTCTGTTGGCAACAAACTGATTTTACTCGTATCAGATCCAGCATTAACTCACTTCCTGCAGCTTTAGCTACAGTAGTTTTTTTAGTTTAGTTCAACACAGACCACCCACTGCTACCCACGTGTTTCAAAAAGACTTTGCTGCTCATGAATGTCACAAGTTCATTTATTTATGAATGACCCCCTGAGCACTGCAGACTGAAAACTATTTGATTAAGAGAATGCAATCATGCTCCTTCTGCCTTTTTTTATTGTTTATTTTTTTGGTCACATTCTGTAGGAGATTCAGCAGGAGACGGATATCCCTGAGAGGGAGCTGGTGCGAGCGTTGCAGTCTCTGGCCTGTGGGAAACCCACACAGCGAGTTCTAACGAAGGAGCCAAAGTCCAAGGAGATAGAGAACGGCCACGTGTTTACAGTCAATGATCAGTTTACATCCAAGCTGCACAGAGTCAAAATACAGACAGGTGAGCAAAACTCACCTCTGGGTCAAGTTCTGTTCACTGCGCTGTGTGTCAAGTTTGTTGGAACATTATTTATAGATTTTAATCACTGCATCAGATTTGATCTTTTCCACTCGTTCTCTCTAAAAGTTACTGAATCTGCGTGACAGAGTTTGAGATGGTTTTCTGAGTTTCTTCATCGTTTTTCTACAATTTGTTTTTAATAGTTGCTGCTAAACAAGGGGAATCTGACCCTGAAAGGAAAGAGACCCGGCAGAAGGTGGATGATGACAGGAAGCATGAGATCGAGGCGGCCATTGTTCGAATCATGAAGTCAAGAAAGAAGATGCAGCACAACGTCCTGGTAGCAGAGGTAAACCGCAAACGTGAAAATTATTTCCAATAGGGCTGCAACAACGAATCGATAAATTCGATGAAAATCGATTACTAAAAGCGTTGGCAACGAATTGCGTCATCGATTCGTTGTGTCGCACAACTCTTCCAAAAGCGCCCCCCCTTCCCGCCCGCCATTGCGCGCAGACCAGAGCAAGTCAGATCAGCGCGAGGGAGAGCCGATCAGCGCGAGTGTGAGCCGCAGATCAGCGCGAGGGAGAGCCCACAGATCAGCGGGAGGGAGAGCCGGCAGATCAGCGCGAGGGAGAGCCGGTACCGGCAGATCAGCGCGAGGGAGAGCCGGTACCGGCAGATCAGCGCGAGGGAGAGCCGGTACCGGCAGATCAGCGCGAGGGAGAGCCAGCAGACTTGTGCTGCTGCGAACCGGTTCCGCATTGTTGTGCAGCGATCCAGGCAGCTGCTTCCAGCGCACGGTCCATTCTCAAAGTGGTTCAACCAAAAAACTATAATTAGCACACGATCGTTCATGTCCGCACATGTTCTCTACTTTCTGTCTTATTTGTGCCTGAAGCGCGCTACTGCGGAGCTCATCACCTGTGCTGTGGTGATGTCACCTCACGCAGCATCGAAAACGCGCTCTCCGCTGTGTGGTCAGGAGATCCCTTTGATCTGCTCAAAAGTAACTGATGAGGTGAAAAAGGTAAGAATCCAGGCAACAGATTTTCTGGAGAATTAAGAGGAGATGCAGGAAGATGAGAGACAGACAGGACAGGAAAATAGTTAAATAAAAACAAGAAAACAAAACAAAGTGTTGAAAAGTAAAATGTAGGTAGATTTATCTCCACTACACGTTTTTACCAGTATAAAACAATAAGTTATACACATGTTATATTTATACATCTGATACAATTCAGATCACCTTCAAAACTCAGTCACACACCCAGGGCCGTTTCAAGACATTTTGGGGGCCAAAGCAAAATGCCCCCCCCCCCATGACTGGGCTCCCCAGAAGCCTCTGTGTAGTTCATACCCTCTCCAGTAGTGTTAGTTATACGGTGTTTATAAAAGCCCCTCAGACATTGCTTACATGTAGTGTCATATGTGACATGAACGTGACACTACGTCACGTTATCGGCCATGTTACCACTACCTGCCTTTTTATAGCTGAATGTTTTATGCTAGTTTTATTATATTTTATTCTACTTATTCTATTTCTGAAATTTATTATTCATGTTATATGTGGCACATTAGTACCGAAACAAGTTCCTAGTTTGTGAACTGCTTGTTCATTGACAATGGCAATAAACCTTTTCTGATTCTGATTCTGCTTCTAATATTATCAGATGAAAAACTAAATTATCAGACATGCTGTCTCATCTGCTGCTTTTCTAAACTTTTTAAAAGTAACAAAACCATGTGAAAGCCACCATTTGTGGATTCTCTGAAAGTTTCCATGGAGTGTGTGACAACTTATTTTTTCATTGATCCTATTGTCTAATCTCACAGCTGAAACAAGCATCCTTAATCATCTGTGCACAGGAAGCTTACCGATGCTGTAGTAAAACAAAAGGTATAATAATTTATTATTAATAAAACCTTGTTGCAGCACTAAAGCAGAAAAATTAGATTTTGCATTAAATATGCAAAATATTTACATATGAATTGTTTTAGATCCCTTTAATTGGCAGAATCTGATATTAATTTAGTTCTTACAAAAAATGGGTCCCAACATGGTTTGTGTGGCGTTGCCATAGTGTGACGTCATAGGCACAGATCCCCTGTCCTCTTGTTTGGAAATGGAAATATGATCACCCTACATTAAACAAACTGTCCACCCGGGCTTTTGCGCTGCACAGAGACGCTTCGCTGCCTATGACTGAACGTCAGTTGAGAGTCAGTCTCATGCAGACTGACCAATGAAGAGAGGGCCTCAAGTTAAGACCCTCTCCTCATTGGTCAGTCCACACGAGGTGGGTCAAAGGTTACTCTGGGCAGGTTACGTGTTGTCAGGCATTCAAGTATTGAGTATATTTACTGCATATTACAGTAAAATATTCTGTATGTGACCACATTATGGTGATCCTTGGGTCGTGATGATGGAGCCCTTGAATATTGTTGCCCAGGGTACAACAAAGTGTTAATCTGGCCCTGGTTCCGCCGTCACATTCCCGCAGAAACTGGTTGATCACACCGGGGCCAGACTACTAGCGTGTGGCTTTACAACCACAATGTCCTCAGAAGCAAAAACGCTTTTAAAAGGGAGGGAGGAGTCCTAACTGTTGCTGCAGGCGTGTTGTGTGAGAGTGCAGTTATATACTGGTTAATATATTTTTGGGTTCAGTTGCTTTCATGTGGCCTAATGTGAGTCTATTTGGGATCATTGGAATGATCAGCAGCATTTCTTGATGTGACTTTATGGCAGTTGCCCAGGGCATCATCGCAAGGAGGATGGCATTCATTTACTTTTGCTTTATTTGGTATTTTTTCAGTCATTTTTGGAAATAGTGATCAATTTTGATTAATTCACAGCCTATGTTTAATTACATTTAAAATAAATGTCAACAGATGAGATCAAACAAAACACATGAGAATTGCCCTTAAGCTGTTAAACTTGGACCAAGCATTTTAGGTCACAGATAGATGTAGCTTAGGGTCTCTGTCTATACACCTTATAAGACAATTTAGGTGATGGCATGTTGTTTTTCTGCTATTGAACTGTTTTCTAATAATGTTGTGTTAAATAAAGTGAAGGAAGGAGAGAAATAACGTTTCCCTAGCAGTTTTTAAAAATTTCCCCATGTGATCCGATTAATCGATTAATCGTGTTGAGACCCCATCCGATTAATCGATTATCCAAATAATCGTTTGTTGCAGCCCTAATTTCCAAGAATGTCATGAATTGTCAGTTTTCTGGACTTCATGGTGTTTATATTCAGTGATCATTTGCTTTGATTGGTTAGGGGTCAGTCAGTTACTGACTGGCAGTTTAAAGTGACTGATGCTCAATTCAGGGTCATGAAAAATAGCATTTTTTTTTTATTTATTTGCTTTCTGAAATTATGAAATCCTCAAATTCCAAGCAAAAATGTAATTGTCACATCGATATTGTGTGACTTTAGTTTTTTCTTAATAGTGCTGCAAAAAACTCATGCAAATGAGATCTAGTGTGAATTTATGATTAGCAAAGTAAGATTTAAGTTTTTTTCCAAGAACAAATCCAATTTGAGACATTTTTAAATTACTGTCTTAAGAAATCTTCCCTCTATGTCCAAACTGACAGCTTTTAATGTTAAATTACACCTTTTCTTCTCTCATTTTGTGTCCCAGGTGACTCAGCAGCTCCGGGCCCGTTTTCTTCCCAGCCCTGTGGTAATCAAAAAGCGCATAGAAGGACTAATAGAAAGAGAATACTTGGCAAGAACACCAGAAGACCGTAAAGTGTACACCTACGTTGCATAAAAGACAAACTAGAGTAGAAGGAAGCTGAATGGGATAGTTGGCTTTGGACGGTTGTTACGCATGGACTACGTTTATTTTACAGACAATGACTGGGATCTTAATTCATCGTCTCTTTCAAAGATACAGTAAAACCTTCATAAATGGAAAATAAAATCTTAACGCAGACAGAAAAATCCATCAGATGTTGTAGATGATTTTTAAATCGGGCCCAGTCTTCCTGTTCCCTGTGAGTTTTTACATGGACAGATCCAGCTTCAAGCTTTTCACTGTTTTACCCTTGTAGAGATTGAACTTGCAAAGAATCCCTTGGGAAAATGTGAATGCACCACGTTCTTTTTTTTTTTTTTTGGTTGTTTTTGTTTCAGTACTGTATAAATAAAGTTATTAAAAACTGGAAAAAATGTGCATTGTTGCAAAATAAAGGTGAGTATTGTTTATCTAGTCTGTGAAAGAGTTGAGTTTAGATGTTGGAGCATCATCCAGCAGCATCTTTCATATTTCCTTCCAACTTTAACTTTCACCCTCAAAAAATTACACTCTTGTTCTCAGTTCTTTGTATACCTTAGTACAAGGGGTTAATCGGTATACAGGTGCTGGCCAGTAAATTAGAATATCATCAAAAGGTTGAAAATATTTCAGTAATTCCATTCAAAACGTGAAACTTGTACATTATATTCATGCAATGCACACAGACCAATGTATTTCCGATGTTTATTACGTTTAATTTTGATATTTATAGGTGACAACCAATGAAAACATCAAATCTGGTATCTCAGAAAATTAGAATATTCTAAAGGCCAATGAAAAAATGTTTGTTTCTCTAATGTTGGCCAACTGAAAAGAATGAACATGAAAAGAATGTGCATGTATAGCACTCAATACTTAGTCGGGGCTCCTTTTGCCTCAATAACTGCAGTAATGCGGCGTGGCATGGACTCGATCAGTCTGTGGCACTGCTCAGGTGTTATGAGAGCCCAGGTTGCTCTGATAGTCGTCTTCAGCTCCTCTGCATTGTTGGGTCTAGCGTATTGCATCCTCCGCTTCACAATACCCCATAGATTTTCTATGGGGTTAAGGTCAGGCGAGTTTGCTGGCCAATCAAGGACAGGGATACCATGGTCCTTGAACCAGGTGCTGGTGGTTTTGGCACTGTGTGCAGGTGCCAAGTCCTGTTGAAAGGTGAAGTCTGCATCCCCATAAAGTTGGTCAGCAGCAGGAAGCATGAAGTGCTCTAAAACTTCCTGGTAGACGGCTGCATTGACCCTGGACCTCAGGAAACAGAGTGGGCCAACACCGGCAGATGACATGGCACCCCACACCATCACTGACGGTGGAAACTTTACACTGGACCTCATGCAACGTGGATTCTGTGCTTCTCCGCTCTTCCTCCAGACTCTGGGTCCTTGATTTCCAAAGGAAATGCAGAACTTGCTTTCATCAGAAAACATAACTTTGGACCACTCAGCATCAGTCCAGTCCTTTTTGTCCTTGGCCCAGGCGAGACGCTTCTTGCGCTGTTTCATGTTCAAGAGTGGCTTGACACACGGAATGCGACACCTGAATCCCATGTCTTTCATGAGTCTCCTCGTGGTGGTTCTTGAAGCGCTGACTCCAGCTGCAGTCCACTCTTTGTGGATCTCCCCCACATTTTTGAATGGGTTTGTCGTCACAATTCTCTGCAGGGTGCGGTTATCCCTAGAGCTTGTACACTTTTTTCTACCACATTTTTTCCGTCCCTTCGCCTGTCTGTTAATGTGCTTGGACACAGAGCTCTGCGAACAGCCAGCTTCTTTAGCAATCACCTTTTGTGTCTTGCCCTCCTTGTGCAAGGTGTCAATGATTGTCTTTTGGACAGCTGTTAAGTCAGAAGTCTTCCCCATGATTGTGGTGCCTTCAAAACAAGACTGAGGGACCTTTTAAAGGCCTTTGCAGGTGTTTTGAGTAAATCAGCTGATTAGAGTGGCAGCAGGTGTCTTCTATATTCAGCCTTTTCAGAATATTCTAATTTTTTGAGATACCAAATTTGGAGTTTTCATTAGTTGTCACTTATGAATATCAAATTTAAATGTAATGAACATTGGAAATACATAGGTCTGTGTGCATTGCATGAATATAATGTACAAGTTTCACGTTTTGAATGGAATTACTGAAATATTTTCAACCTTTTGATGATATTCTAATTTACTGGCCAGCACCTGTATAGCATTTCTTTTTCTAGCTCTAGAAAATGGAATTTCCAATTTGTCTTTGAACGCATCATAAGCTAAATCACTGGTTCTCATTAATGTGTTGGGTAAAACTAACATTCTTCACTAACACGTCAGGAGCCTCAGTGCAGCCTTTTTGCAGAGGGTTGGCATGTTAAAACCGATGCTCTCATCTTTGATCATGCTCTTAGTCCAACAGCTGTGTGCTCTTAGTAATCAGGTACTTCAAAGGTTATTGATAATTCATGGAGAACCTTTGCATTTATTCTCACAAGAGGCCATTTCCTAGTGAGTGGGCCTGGGTGGTAAAAACTGAGAGATTGTGATCAGAGGTGGATAAATAGTAGCTGTTATATTAGTTTTAGATTCATTTTGATTAGAAAAATCAGGATTATGTCTATAGTGGGAAAAGAATTGTCCACCAAACAAAGTTTTATTTTAAAACATTTGTAACACTTGTGCAAATGCATAAAAAAGACTTGACTCTTTAAGTTTGTCCAAGTGATTTAATGCTGATCAGTAACATTTTAGACAAAGTGAGGTTTAGATGGGTCCAGATGACCTGCAGCATCTGCTTCATGCTGTAGCTGAACAGCTCGAGCCAGAGTCTCCAGCTGAGAGATGAAATTACAAATCTCTTCAGCAGAACTGCGAGTCCAAGCCAGAGGGAGATGTGCAGGAACCGGCTTACGATCTGCAGCACAATGCTGAGGTTTTGACAAAAAACTGCAAAAAGCATCTTAAATTGTGATATCTAGTTCTGCTCACCTTGAAAAAACTGCCCACTGCGTGTACTCGCAGCAACTCTGGACAAGGCCAACCACACAACAGTGTCTGCTCCTTGTTCGACTCCACGCAGCCTGTCACCCATCATCTGATGAAACTGAGGCATTGCTGTGGAAACAGCTGGAAATATATACAATCTTTAATAGGACACTAAATGATTGATCAGGACATTTATAAAGGTAATCTTCTCTGAAGCACAATGTAAATAAATGAAAAATTACTTTAAAGGTCTAAACAGAAATCCTCTTTTAAGCATTTCTTTGTATTTTAATCTTTTTGAATGAGTGAATATTAAGCCAGTACCTGGTGTATCTACCCAGCCAGGATGCATGGCAGAAAAGTGAATGACAGGGTAGGTTTTGGCCCAATGTTCTGTTAGCACCACCTGCTGTCTCTGAAGAGAAACAACTCTTTATTATCCCGTTCGCTTTGCCCCTGTTTCCCTTAGATGATGAATGATGTTTTATACCATAGGTGTGACTTTAAATTCCATTCTGACCTTGTTCTGGGCGTAGACCATGACCCCATCGAAGTAGCCCTTCTCTGAGTGCAGGTCATCAACTCTAAGCTTCTGGACCAGCATGCCTCCAGAGGACACAGTGATCTAACACACAGGAAGACAACAGCCACCACAGTGTGCTCAGACAACAACCACAGCAGCACAAACAAGTGTGGCATTATGCTGTCCACACCAACCAGATGAAGACCCTTATTGTGCGTGTTTAAGCATGAAACCGTACCACTCTGGGGTCCCGGCTCTTCTGCAAAAGTGGTATGAGAGTTTGAGTGAGAACGTAGACCCCTAAAGAGTTTAGATGAATGGATATCAGTTAAGACGGTGCAGAGAAGAGACCTGTCATGTTCACTTTGAATCATTTCTTACCCATGGTGTTTGTGGCAAAGTTCATCTCCATTCCCTCTGCGTTCAGCTCTTTCTTGTGCACCATGCAGCCTGCATTGTTGATCTGTTTGGTTTAAAGCACATGATTTGCAACCGATTTGTATTTGGCAAATAACAAAAGGCATGAGAACCCTACCAACACATTCAGCGATGGATGCTGCTTCTTGAAGGTCTCAGCGAACTCCCAGACTCTGAGCGTCTGCGACATATCGACAATGTGGACGTACACTTCCTACAAGAACCGCTTTTAAGTCTTGAGGAGATCATGGGATTCATTACAAAATAGAACCAATCAAACACACCCACCGTGTTACCAGACGCAGAAACGATGTCTGATTTGGCCTCTTCTGCTCTGTCTCTGTTCCTACACAACATGTGGACTGTCCCGCCTGGACACAAAACACAAAACTTTACTCTACATCAGAGCACACACCACTATTCAGCGTGTACCTTTCTTGGCTATGGCCATTGCTGTGGCTTTGCCAATTCCACTGTTAGCTCCTGTGATCATGAAAGATCGACCCACGACGGACACATCAAGGTCCTTGGGCTCAAAGCCTTTGGATGCTGCTTCATATCCCTTCCTGAAAGCACAAAGAGAGCACACTAATCAATGACTGTGTCTAAGAAAAGTGAAGCATTGACAATCTAGATGTTTCATCTCTGTATTCAAGCCCTGGCAGTGATGTGTCATTCCCAAGCTGTCAATAGAACTATTGTAGCTGCACATAAGGGCCAGTATGTGCATTAAGCTGTGCAACAGTGATCAGACTGATCTGTTAACAAACCATTCAGGATTACATAAAATGCATTTGTCACAAAATAGACCAAGTACTGAAACGCTCTGCAGACCTGCATCAAAGTGGCACTAACCTTGTGTATTGGTGGATTCCATTCAGAAACCAGATGGCATTTCGGTACATTGACATGACACCAAAAGATCAGCAATCCAACTTGGTGCACCAGCTCCTTTTCCAAATCAGAGACAGATCAGGATCACATGAGGAGGACGCAGGAGTTCTTGCTGCTCCTTACCGACACTGAATGGGAATGACACAGAAAACACTCCCTGTCTGAGGGGGGGAAACTAACAGTTTCATCAATCCATTCATTCACAGGTCACATAACACTGCTGGTTGAACGGATCCTATCTGGAAAAGATCTAGGGCCAATCCAGATGCATGTGAGGTCAGATGACGCGTCTGGGGCGGCCAGAGGGGCGGGGTTTATCACTTCCACCCCAGATGCACTTGGCGTAGGGCAGAAATGTGTTCACTGGGGCTGTTTGACCCTTTGTGAGGGTTAAAGTGCGTAGTATTTTCCCACCTTTTAGGTAGTGTTTGTATTTAGGCTCCGCGCCAACATGGTAAGTGTTTCTTTTTAAGGCTGGCTTGTGCGCATGACCGTTTCTGTAAGGTAGCGTCAGCCTACATGGCCGTTCACCTGTCGCACCCTGGTCGCACCTGACATCAGGTATAAGGCTAGGAGCTCATTTTCGCTACTTCCTGGAGCGATTTCGTAGTCAACAGGTTGCCTAAAAAGTAGTTCTATTGTTTTAATTGTTTTTATAAGGTTCTGTTTCACCTTTATCTACAGCCGGAAGTAAGGTGTGTGTGTGTGAGAGGTGTACCTAAACCGGTGAACGCTGTAGAACTGGTTTTGTCACTTTCCCCCAGTTGTCTGGCAGCTCACTGCTTTGCATTTTAATTTGCCTGTGAGGAGTTACACGCACCTGCTAATAGATGCAATTACAGTATATATTTTAAAATATAAATAAAGGTTATTTTTAATGTTTTAAACTGTTGAATAATTCCCATTGCCCTTTTTTCCGGGTTGGTTTACTCCCTTTGTGACGAGATCACTCAAGCAATTTTCTCAAATTCAACAATTTATAAAGCACAAATTTATATATTTAATCATCACATGTCTGTTTTCTTTTATTTTAAGACTTTTGCTTCTAATTTTATATAAACACTCATAATTTGTTTCAAAAAGTTAGAAATAACTTGGAAAGATGAGAATATCTATCACATTCTAGCTTATAGAAATCTTAAACGGCATATTTTAAGGATTTGAATAAATGAGAACTACTCTAAATATTTTGTTTAGTAGAAATGTTAGGATTGATGGCAAATAACTGTTTAAATGATTTTTTCACTTTGCTAGCTTGCTCTAATTTCGTGTATTTGGAAATTTCTTCCTCTTTTGAAGGTTAAACTGTGCAGCAAGTTAGCATGACAGAACGAGGGCAAAACACACTGACAGTGTTGATAAAAATGCCTGCTTCATGTTTACCTGCTTTGTTGCTGTTTTTCCAAGTATCAAGTCTCCTGATAAAACACCCGTACACACCTGAACGTTCGGGTTCCTGTTGCAACTTTTCTCAGCTTTTATAGCAGCACTGTCTCTCTGTGTTTTGATTCTGTGAGTCTAAATAAGCCCATTCATTTGAAGATACATTTTTGTTTGTAGTACTGACAAAAGTAAACATCTCATAAATTATATTATCATGAGTTTCAATCACCACAAATATACACATCTTAGCCAACTGCTAATGAAAATTCTTGTACAGTTTTTAAAGTGTGAACACCTGAAAAAAATCCTGATCGTTTCACTGACTAATTATGTAGTGCACCATTTTGAAAGTAGTTTGTAAGGCCCACGTCTAACGTCCTGGTTTAAAACTATTGTCTCTAAAGGGACTTAAGCTCTATGTGAAATGGACAGAGCCTCAAAATAATGTTCCTGTTATTTGTTACTCATTAAATTCTGCCTGCCTCTTTTTTTTCTGAATTTCGGGGACATTACTTGTTAATGAGTCATGATTGTTCAGCTCTTGTCTCATCTGTCTGCGTGTGTGTTGGTGGTTAATAATTTCTTTTGGATTAACTCTGTCTGGATATGTATGTATTAGAGCCTTCATGTATTTCTTTGCTAAACAGATTTAATGACTCCCTTTGTTGACTGTGTGTGTGCATGCGTGTGCGTGTGTGTGTGTGTGCGTGCGTGCGTGCGTGTGTGTGTGCGTGTGTTGTCAGATGCGCTTCCTGCTGCTCTTCAGTCGCCAGGGGAAGCTGCGTCTACAGAAATGGTTCACTGCAATGTCAGATCGTGAAAGAAAGAAGATCATTAGGGAAATGACCACCATGGTGTTGGCACGGCAACCACGTTCCAGCAACTTCCTGCAATGGAAAGACCTGAAGATTATTTACAAGAGGTGAATCTAGAAACTTTTTTGAACTCTTTTAAAGCTGCTAAAGCAAATCTACAGAATAAGCTAGGTTTTGAATGCAAACATGGTCGTGGAACAGTCACCCCTCCCCTCAAGTTATCTTCCCTGAGAACTGAGTTCTGCCGGAACTGGAAACCTGCATTGCGAGAGGAAACGAGATGGTGCTAAACACCAGTCACCATTTTCTAGGTCCGAATGCGTTTTGTTGTCCGTGACTTCAAATGATGTTTTTCTTTTTGGGACTCTAGTAGTTTGTCCTAAAATTGAAGGGGTAGCAACCGGCTGTTTCTCCTTCTCTGATATTATTGAGTGGAGAACTTCACACCAGTGGTGTTCTGCTGCTAAATACGAGAGTGTGTAATGAATAGAGGACCCAGGAAAGTTCAGCGAGACCAACAATCAGATGGTCCAAAAGTTGCTTTTGGTCCAGTACAACAACAATTTTTTTCTTAATCTCCACAGTATATTTATAGATATAATGTGTTAGTGTTGTTAACTGTGTGGTTCACTGAAAAAAATGTTTTTTTTTAATTTATTATTTCTGATTAGAATTGGTCCCTCTGAGTTTTTCATGCAGGCTGAACATAAAAACAGTCTCCTACAGCTATCTCCTGCGTTAGCTTCTGATAGAAAATAGATGGTGAAATGCTAGGATTTGAAAATCTTAACATCTGTGTCACACTGTGAATTTGCAATCATGGCCTCGCCCATTTTGGCTCACGCCCACCCAAAGGAAGGCTTTAAAAGAATTGCATTGAGGAGAGAGCGGAAGACGTCTTGTTGATAGTGACTTTGTAGCATGGCTAACCACATCCTGTTAGCCAATCAGAAGTGAGGTGTGTGCAAATCATTGATAATAATGAGTAATCCTGCTGTTTTCAGCCCACCTCTGCACCAGCAAACTTCTGCATCTCAGAAAAGGAGCATCGTAGCTATGTTTTAAATGACTCATAAGGCATTGATTTACACTTGAGAACAAATGTGTTGGAATGGGTCAAGCTCACTTTTAACCCTCTGGAGTCGATGGTATAATTAGTCGTTTCGACAAGTTTTAGTGTTCACCTTTATATTTGACTCTATATTTTATTTGAATGCCTTGTTTGGTATCATTCTTTTCAGCACAACCTCACCTCTGTGAATTTAGAGTCATTTCTTCATTTTGTCATATTGTATTGGCACACTGAACCTGAAAGTGCACTAAAAAATCTAAATCCGAGTAGAAAAATTTACTTATTTATCTCAGTGAAAACCCACAAACAACAAACCATTTTTAGCTCTCAGAATAAAACTATAGGGTGTGAGTAAAAAATAAAAAAGCTCAAATTTAGATTAAATTTAAGCGCATAAAAATGCAAGGCTTGTGTCAGGCGTTTTTCATGTGAAATTGCTGTTATGCTAAAAATGTTCCACACACTTTCTCTCTACGTCTGCTACTTCCAAAAGTGTCCAGCAGAAGACAGGATCTGGTTTAGCAAGTCAAAAAATTCTATAGATATATTTAGATTCTTGAGTCAGAAAACGGTAGAATGCCTTCGCCGGGTCAGGGATGAGGTCCTGCCCTAAGTGGAGTTTAAATATCTCGGGGTCTTGTTCACGAGTGAGGGAAAACTGGAGCGTGAGATCGATAGGCGGATTGGTGCTGCATCTGCAGTGATGCAGGCGTTGTACCCGTCTGTCGTGGGGAAGAGAGAGCTGAGTCAGAAGGCGAAACTCTAGATTTACCGGTCGATCTACGTTCCTACCCTCACCTACGGTCATGAGCTTTGGGTAGTGACCGAAAGAACGAGATCGTGGATACAAGCGGCCGAAATGAGTTTTCTCCAAAGAGTGGCTGGGCTCTCCCTTAGAGATAGGATGAGAAGCTCGGTCATCCGGGAGGGGCTCGGAGTAGACCCGCTGCTCCTCCACATCGAGAGGAGCCAGTTGAGGTGGCTCGGGCATCTGGTCAGGATGCCTCCTGGATGCCTCCCTGGTGAGGTTTTCCGGGCACGTCCAACCAGGAGGAGACCTAAAGGTAGGCCCAGGACATGGTGGAGGGACTATGTCTCTCACCTGGCCAGGGAACACCTTGGGATTCCCCCGGAAGAGCTGGCCCAAGTGGCTGGGGAGAGGGAAGTGAAGTCTGGGCCTCTCGACTTAGGCTGCTGCTCCCACGACCTGACTCCGAATAAGAGGATGAAAATGACAATAGATGGATGGATATTTACATTTACATTCTTTACATGCATACATTTGTGTGCCAAGCCTCAAAGTAACACTCAGGGGAGCATCAGAAGCTTTACAAATCCAGGGGGTGTCCTTTCTTACATTGTCCACCTGGAATCTGCAACAAAAAACTCCCTTAATCAGAAAGTCTTCCCTGTCTGTACCTAGCAACTTTTTACGCATGATTTGTGTGACTTGGTGAACTAATTATGAGTGACTTTGTGATTGGTGGGTGTGGTTTGTATTTCAGCTTATAGGATGAGCTTGGACTTGTTTTTCTTCCAGACTCTCTTAGATTATGGTGTGTAGTAGCGAGAGCCGACGGAGAGCTCTGTAGGATTTCGCTCTCGATCTGCCACAGATCGAATGTGCAGAAGCGGCTTCATCTTCATCATGAATTTTTACCTTAAATGTTTTACTTGGATAAACATGTTAAATCACAACTGTTGCTTAGTTTTAAGCCCCCTTTGTCGAAACAAGCTAGAACCATGATGCTAAGTGGTTTCCTGGTTCCATAAAAATGGGAGTAATGCGAGTAGTGTTCCATCACATGCCGGCGTGTGGATTGGCTCCAGAGGGTTAAGAGACATGACAAAAGTGTTTAAGCTAATATATTTTCCAAATTTGCTATTGCAGCTTTAAATTGAGTGTTTTTTGGACTAGCGGACCATCCCAATCGTCTGTACTGATGCCCACGCTAATAATGTCCATTGTTGCTGCTTAAAATGAAATTGTTGTCCACTGCTTCTTCTTAGGTATGCAAGCTTATATTTCTGTTTGGGTGTAGAAGCCCAGGAGAATGAGCTATTAGCTCTGGAGATTATTCATCGCTATGTGGAGCTGCTGGACAAATACTTTGGCAATGTATTCAGTAATTATATTTAATCAAAATATATTTCTAAACGTAAAAACAATGACTACGTATATTCACCAACGTCATACCTCCTCTCAGGTGTGCGAGCTGGACATAATCTTTAACTTCGAGAAGGCCTATTTTATCCTGGATGAGTTTTTAATGGGAGGAGAGATCCAAGAAACCTCCAAACAGACTGTGAACCGCTGCATCGAAGCCTCTGACATGTTACAGGAGGTAAGACGATCGGCCACTCACACTCACTAATACAGCAGTGTGAGCATCTGTTGCGTGCCTCGAACCTCTTACAGCAACGGCAACAAATCGTTAGTAAGTTTATTGTGTTTACACTTGTGACATCTGTCCATTTGAAGTTGATTGTGGGGTAAATGTGTACCAAATTTTGGTGTTCAGTGATCTGCTCAACACAAATTTTATAAATCCAATGAGGTAAATGAGGAGTTCAATGAATGAGTGAATGTAGATTAGTCGGTGTGTAGTGTGATGGATAGGCTGTGATGCTAAATCCCTGCGGTGCCTTTGGTTTTCTCGAGGCATAAAGGCGTGCAGTTCCCGCTCTTCTGTACAGATTTAAGCTTGTGCTCCTGTTCGTCTCCCCTCTGCTTTCATCTGTGCACATCTGTCTCTTCCTCCGCCAGCTTTTTTATTTTATTTTATTTTTTTCCGAGCGAGAGACGGATTCTCCTGGAATGGGGTGTAAACTTTAGTGTTTGTGTGGTGCTTCTTGCTCCCCTCCCTCTCTAGAGGCTCATGCCTCTGTGTGGTACGATCGTTTAACTGGGTCTGTTCTGTGCTTCCAAATAGAGCTGACTAACACATTTACGGATGATATTCAGTGTAGGCTCCCTTATTCATTGTGATCATTATCGCTTCAGGATGACAACAGTGAGTGGTATGAGGTGGAGCTGTTTGGATGACCTTAATGGACAGACAGGTTAGATGCTCTGTTAGTTCCCTGCTGTGTGTTGCTGAACAGAGGTGATCTGTAGATGTGTGTCTGAGAATAATAAATGATTTAATGTATTAGTCAGACATGTGGAATCATCAAAGATGCTGATCTTTTTTTTTTCTTGTGTTATTTTTTTTCAGACGATGGAGGAGTATATGAGCAAACCTGCCTTTTAACTCATACAGAAAACAGACCAAACTATGGAGGGATTCACAAATATGGGTCAATCAAGCTCTGGAACTGAATTTACTTACTGAACCTTTAAAAAAAAGAAAGAATACAATTAGTTTATTTCCTGCTCACCATATGCCTGAAATTTGTTTTTACATTTATTATTAATAAATTGAAATGAAGTTGTAATAGAGAATGACGGGGTTTAAATTTATGGTTTTTTTGCATTTAAATCAAGAATTAATATATTAGATATTTTCACTCTCCAGTAGATGTGTTTGTGAACAGCTGTGCTGTACGATACAATAGTTCTCTTTTAATCTGTTTTAGTTTCATCAGCATCTAAGACTGTGGTTAAAACTGTTCTGTGAGGCATTTGTTGTTGGTGTCTTTTTTAAAACCATGCACAATTTATGATTAAAATATTTTTTAACAAGAGTTATGTTTTGTTTGCTTTGTGATCTATTGATGTGAGTGAGTTTAATAAGGCAACACAACTCAGCAAGAAGAAAAATAATACAGCTGATGCTTTATTCATCTGTGGTCCATCACACGTTGTTGAACATGTACAAAATGGTTTAAAAATGAGCATACGGAGCACAACCACTGTTAGGCCAACGATACAGAGCTTTGCAATATGAAAGGGTTAGAAGGCAGGCGACGGTCTGATATTTAGACCCAAAAGTAATCCGATTATAACATTAAATCCACAAACCCTGACTAGATCACGAGTCACAACACTCGCAGCCCTGACAAATAATCCCGATAATATTCCTCATAGTGCTCAAGAATAGCTTTCAAAAGCCCAGTTAGGATTATATTTAATCATTTACATGTATATTCACAAATGTAACTGAATAGTTTGACACAGATGAAAAATAAGCTTTTTTTTATCTTTTGGTTATAGATTCAAATATAGGACTGTTTACAAACACCATTTAATGTAAACAAATCGAATAACACAATTTGTTGGATTTGATTGAATATGGGGTGCTGATTGGGAAGTAATGCACTTAAAAAGAATTAAAAGCTACGTTTTGTCACATTTAGCTCCCCATAATAAAAAAAGTCACCTTTTCACCACATTTATTTAGGATATCAGACCATGGCCACCCCTTGGGGGCGCCATTAAAAGCAGGGAGATGAGACCCTCCATGAAACAAAACTTAGATCTCTCCATCCTCTTATTTTGGTATGCTACAACAGCTTTAGCATTCATGCTAGCAAAATATTCACATTTTATCAGAAATTTCCATGTTTATATTTAACTTGTGTTTCAGGATTTTTACTTTTAACATCATTATTTTAATATAAATGTGGTGAAGTATTTAAAATGACACAAATTTTCAATCAGCACCCCATAGAAGAGGTCACATCTTCCAGATTACTTTTCGCCTCTCTGGATGGCACTTTTACATCTCATTAGAAATACATCTAGAATGTTCTTGCAGCAAGTAGGGACATTGTTTATCTGTGTTTATTTCTAAGTTTGCTATAGATTATTTGTCTCAGGGTATCAATAATAGCTATTGTTCATATGATAGAAATTTGTAAACTAGATCACGTCCACCAAACGTTATTTTTGAGACGGTATATAAATACTATTTTTATGTTAATGCGCCTCGCAGACAGATCAGGCTACATCCCGGCCGCGTTTTGTTCACGATGCTGCTCCTCTTCTTCATTCGCGGTTTGCGGAGCGGGGGTCTTGGATGGGGTCTCCTCCCTCGGGAGGGGAGTGGCTTTCTCATCTGCGGCACCCTCGGCTTCCCTCTTGGCCACTGGCCGCCTCTCGGTCTCCGCCTGGTCCATGTAGTCCTTCATGGCGCGCTCGTAGAGCTCGTAGGGGAACTGGCCCTTCAGCTGCGCCTGCGTGTCCCGCTTGGTGATGGTGTTCGGGTACTCTGTGAGGATTTTGGCTGCAAGGTATGTCGTCACCTCATCTTCAATGTCGCCGTCATCGTCGGCGTCATCAGCGGCGTCGGCCTGACGTTTCAGGGGCATTTTGTTTAACTCTGATAAAAACAGGTTCTCCCTGCGTCCGGAGGGTGGGGGGATTTTAACCGGGGCTGCGTTTGCAGCTGCAGGGATTCTGTCTGAGGAGGAGGACAAGGAGGTCTCCATGGGTCTCTGCACCACGGGATACTCGTTACTGATGGTCTCCACCCCGATGATGTCCAAAAAGTCCTCCCTGTCCATGTCATCAGTGGGGGGCTTGCTCTTCAGAGGCAGTCTGCGACTGAAATACCGGATCTTCGGGGTTTGGCCAGCCGTGTAACGGGCCATGGCTTGGGGATCACGATGGAGCTTTCTGAGCTCCTCCGTGAGCAGCATATCGATGAGGTCCTGAGGAGGGACGTGGAGTTTCAGGGACAACTCCAGCAGCTCCTTCACTGTCCGAGGGTCCACGATGGAAGGGCGGATCAGCCTCTTTTTCTGATCACCGGTCTGATCCCCATTTTGTGTCTGGTCACTCATCTCCAAGACCTTCAGCAGATAGTAATCTACCAGTTTAGTGTCGTCATCCGCGTCCTCCTGGTTCTGATTGGCCCGACGCTGCATCTCCTCCCGCTCGGACTCCTGATCGCTTAGCGCCCTTTCCATTTCTTCGTGGCTCCTGTTCTCCATCTCCTCCGTCTCTTCCCTCTCCTCCACGGGTACCCACTCTTCTCCTCCAGCCACATCCTCATAAGCCTGGTTTCTGTGACCGAGTCCATCTATTCCACCATCATCTTCTTCCCCGTAAGCGTCTCGCTTCTGGCTGGAGATCGATGGCATCCTGCCAAGTTCGTCAAAGATCGACCTTAAATTGGCAAGGCTCTGGGGAGTGTACTGCTCATCCAAGTCCTCTGTCGCCCGCTTGGAGGCGTCTGTGTTCTCCTCGTCTTCAAACATCAGCGGGTACTTCTTGTGGGGCCTGGGGAAATTACCGTAATCTGCCGGTGCGCTTTTGGGGATTTCCGTGTCTTTGGCGCGGTACCTGCTCGTTCGGCGGTCGCTCCTGGGTTCAGAGGCGGGACTGAACCTTGGGTCTTTCCCGGCCTGATCCTGGAGAGTCTTAAGCATGGCTTTCATCAGCTGCTCAGCGGTAATGTCCTGCCTCGGGATGCCGGGGGCGGACTGGCGCTCCCCGGGAACCTCGTCCTGCCGAGAGGCGAGCTGAAGCATGACCTTGAATTTTTCCACTTCGTCGTAATCCACAGGCTCGGGTCGACCCCCGTTTCGCTGCTTCAGGTTCTCGATGTACTCCAGGGCTTTGATCATGTCGGAGCTGGGTGGAAAGGCAGCCGGCAGTCCGTCGCCCTCCCCGCCTCGGAACCAGTGGCGGGGGAGAGATGCAGCCTGCACCGCGCACCCGTGAAGGAGGAATGCGAGCAGGACGACAACTCTCCCCGCGGGCAACTTGTGGTGGAAATGCAGCATTGTAGGATATTTATTACCTGGAACGAAAGACCACGACATGTCAGGAACGCGTTTCTTGGTCAAATCTGACATCTAGATGTTTATGTTGTAAAATGATCTCGACCAAGAGGATTTCGTGCGCACTGTTTTTGTCTTCCTTTCAGGGATTTACGCTCCGCAGTTTGAATGATGTGATGCTGTGCATTCACATCACTGGATGAGTCACTCCCTACGTTGTTATGGGCAACGTCAGCATCACTTTTACGTTGGTACCCATTAAACCTAAGGGGAAAATCTTTCTTTCATCCTTTCTATTTAAAACAACGCATTTGAGCATTTCTCTTGTTTAAAGGAAGCATTTCACCTCACAAGTCTTATTTTAAAATGTGCGAACCCCATTACGTAAATCAACGAGCCGTTACTCCGTTTATAAATCATTTTACCTGACGTAACAATAATAAAAAATATTTATTTTTACCTTTGGTAATAAAACTCAGACAGCAGTAAAGGTGAATGGCATCTCTCAGGAGCGATGCTGAAGCTCTTCTGTTTTCAGCACTTGGACAGCTCCTCCTGTTATATGAGGCACCACCTGACTACCGCGTCATCACACAACACACGCAAAAGCCTGGCCCTAAAAAGTCCGTATAAATGATTCAGGCTTATGATATGGAAGAGTCTGCTGTATTAAAATAGCTCGTTGGGCGGTCTGTCACACCTCTGTTGTTGACTGGAGAGATCCTGGAGGACTGCTGCAGTGTGTCTCATTGAAAGAAGTTTGTGAGTTTTGTTCACTTAGAAAATAAAATAGTTAATTCATGTGCCAATTTTATTATAAGGACACATTGTAAAAAGAAAAAAAATCTTAAATGCTTGTTTTTCCTGTCTTTTGTTTAAAAACTGAAGACTATTGGGTAAATGTGGGAAACCCTTCTGCTTTGTGGGCTCAAAATGTACATAAACCCACGTTCTTTGCCTTTTAATCTGTTTTAATGTTGTCATTCTCAACAACAACCTCCCAGCCTCTCGCATACTGGCGTGTGAGGAGTTAAACCCGCCAGTGATGACTCACAGACCCGAAGCACCGGAGCTGCTGTCGCAGTTCAGCAGCCCTCTTTCTCCCCTCCTCCTTCTGTACCGACAGAGATGGTGATAAACAGGCTCTTCTCGGCTGGGCGCCAAGGCCCCGGCATTCCACAGGGTCAGCGAGATAAAAGGGGCCACGCTGCATGCCAGCTGCCTGTTCTATGCCATGAATGGATTGTTACAAAGTTTTGTTGGGGCCAAAAGATGGTAAAAACTTATTTTTTAAACGGGTGTGGTTATAATAAAGATTACATCATCGAATTGGCCATACAACAGTTCACTTTTAGAATTGTTATGTGCATCAATATTTAAAATCATAATGAGCAGAGCAGACCCAGACCATCACACGGCCACTGCCATTTTGGTCTGTGTGGTATGATGTCCCGGTAGCATTTTACAATATAGGTCCCTTTATTGTCCTAACCTTAAGGACACTCAATAGTTAACAAAGTGACTCTATATTTATTAATGCTTAATAATGCACTAAGTAACATTAATAAAGTGACCCTTTGTTTATTAGTGCTTAATATTGCTCTAAGTAATGTTAAGGAGGGGCCCTTTGTTTCTTATTGCTTAATGTTAATAAAAATACTCTTTTTGTTAATGCTTAATAATGTCCTAATTAATGTTAATAAAGGGACTCTTATTGTTAAGTGTTTCAGATGTTCTTTTTTTTAATGCAGTGTTAATTTTCACCAGATGTAACGGGTCTTCCATCTTCTAAAAAGTCCCACTGTTGCCGGTTCACTAAATATCTCCCCCCCAAAAGGTTTTATGGATCATCAAAACTTTTTTTATTTTGTCACAAATGATACACACATTTTTGTTCTGGTTGGACAAGAGAAGCTGTGGTTCTGGAACTGATGCTGTTCTGTCAAAAACTCTGACCTTCATCAGAATTGAGTGAAGCCTGCGCTGCTTTAGAGGTTGTTATGGGTTATTTTGGTTTTAATTTAGTCACAAAGGCACATGGTGCGTAACTTTTTGAGATCCTCTTGAGTGGGTTTAACATAACCAGCTGATCCTGTCGGGTTTAGGCTAATCTCAGCTTCGTGTGAATGAGTGACAAAAGCAGAGCCACAGATCAGATGACTGACAGGTATAGAGGAGGCTAAGGAGGGCTGAGGTGTTGTTTGTAATTTTAAAATCCCTCAGCATCACTCCCTCCAGCATCACACCTCCATTCAGACACAGCTGTCGCCCTGATGAAGAGCAGCAACCACAGCTGATCATTATCCGCGACTCTCCCCCGGCTTGCTAAGAGTTGGAGAATATGATCTCAGTTTTCTCAGAAAAACAAGTACGTGAAAATATATGCAAACGTCTTTGCCCATTCATTGGTCGTGGCAGTGACTAATAAAAATGTCTCACTGTCACTGATGCACGTGACATATTATACAGGGAGAAACATTCCATCAGCTCCAGCCCTTTAATTATTTGATTGTTTTCATTTACAGCCAAGACATATAAAAGGCACCAACACCAATAATAAGCTGGTAATGATGTAGTTGTTTGCAGATGAAGATGGAGCAGCTCATTTCTTCCGGGATACTTCTGTATTCATCTTGGCTCCAGATCAGTCATGTAAGGTGGCAAGCTGTTAAGCATCTGTTGGGTCTCCTTAGATGTCGTAACTGTGTGCATATCCATATTTGTGTTGGGTATTTCATCCCCCTGTGGTGATTCTAACATCCGATTTCTCGGAGCTCAATCCTCGTCAAGCTGCTGGTGGCGAGCGATTCATTGAGCGAGTCCTTGATTCCTCTCCAGGGCCTGTGATGTGCTGTCTGTGACCATTGGTGCGTTTGCTTCGGTCATTAAAAGTAAAGATTTCCTCTGGATGCTGAGACTGAATGCCTTTACGTTCCTCTTTTATCTCCATCTCTTTCTCCCTCTTTGTCAATGAGCATTAGAGCAGGGAGGAGGGAGAATGGTAGTAATTAAATTAAAGTTCACACTCGTTGTCTCGGTGGTTTCGTTTCTTTCATCGCCTCACATTGACTCTCCCTCTAATACTATCAGCGTAAACTCCCTTTTCTCATTGACAATATAGAGTTATTTTTAGACCAAGTCACATAAAATAATTTGAAATCTAGTTACCTGTCGTGCCAGGTTGTCTTATTCACGCTTATTAAGTTTTATTTACTGCATAGAGGTACTGATGGGGTGGATTTTTAAAAGTCTAATTTGACTTTTGACCTTCCACATCAGATTTAAGTACATTTCAAGTAGATTAACACATTGTGTGATTACAAAAAAGTTAAACGTTTGGATTAATATGATGCACTGATTGAATTTAAAGACCAAGTTCACTTAGAAACTGGTTTTTACTTGATATTTTTAAATATGATTGGTCATTCTGAGTTTCACACCTTCTACTTCTACACTGCCTAGCTAAAAAGTCACCCCCTGGATTTAACTAAGCAAATAGGCATGAGCCTCCCTTTGGATAATTACTTCATGGGCGATTATCTTTCAGCTGCAATAAGTTATTAATCCTCAACTGGTGCAATGAGTTGCTTCTCATTTCTTAAACAACCATGTGGAAAGACCCATCTGGTGGTCGTGGAAAAGATGTTTGAGAAGGGTAATATCATTGGCATCAAGCAGAGAAAACATCTATGAAGTGATGCACCTATCATGCCTAGTGCCTACTGTACAAGCCTGTGGGGGCGGTGCCATGATCTGGGGGTTTCTGCAGTAATTGACCCTGTTCCACAGTGGCTCTGCGCAGCGGTCAGTCTCTACCATCATCAGTGCAAAATCTTGGTGAAAAATTAATGCAACGCTAAATGGAAATAAATCATGTGACACTGCAGAAGCTTATCGAAACAACGCCACGGCGAATGAGTGCTGTAATTAAAGGCTGTTCAAAGAAACGTTAAGAGTGTGACTAATTTATTTGGTGGTCACCTTTTTTGACAAGGCAGTGTATTTCCTGCATTAGCTGCTGATAGATAATATGTGGGGAAACTCATATTAGAAAAACCAGTAAAATGTTGCAATGGAAATAAGCATTCATGGACTTATCAATCTTGGCTTGTGACGATAAAGTTTGTTGTTGTTTTAGCATCCAGCAAACAGCAGAGCACGTCTCAACTAGTAGAAGATAACCATTAGCATTAGCAACTCCACTAAATGGCTGAACTCCTTCAGGCTTGTGTTATTTGTGGAGATGAAACATCAACATTGCAAAGCAAACAGTCAGCGATAGAGTCACGTTGAAGTTAGCCAATCAGAGGGGAGACTTACAAATATTAGGAAATGAGACAGAGACATGGATCGACTCACAAGGTATTCATTTGTACTAGAGACCATAGAGACCACTGTAAATGTTTAGGAAAAATAAGTAAACTTGCTCTATTTACAATTAAAAGATGAGCTAAGAAAGACTTCATTACTGAATGACTGATGGGTGTGAGGTGTTGTCAACATAAAAAGTAAGAATAGTTTGTTTCTTTGCATCTCATATTGCACCATCTAAAATTAATAATAAAGAAAAAGATATTGCAGCCATGTTTTTTTCAGCCCCTGATAAGAATTTGAAGTTTCTTCAGAATAATTTAACCTTTTATTTCTCTTCTTTATGTCCTGTTTTGATTGGTGATTTTTACGCTGTCTGACACTGAAGCACACATCTCACTGCTGCTTTCCCACATGTCAATCAAAGCTGCCTGGAGAGGATGATATCTCAGAGCCGTGCGTCACAGCAGACACTAATACGTCCACATGCACTTTCACACAACCAGCTGCAAACACAACCTGACTCACGAAGCTTCATCTCAAGACTTTTCTTTTCGTTTTGGTTGCTGTTTGCCCTTCTGGCTGTGCCGTTTTAATGCTTCTAGGACCAATGACTCATCCAGAGGATGAAACGTTTCCTCCCCGGGGTTTCTTCCAAACAGCACAGCATACATAATTAATGTCTTTGTATAAAGTCATGTAAAACAATTATTAAGTTAATTGTCATGTGTGACAAACTGATAGCAGAGACCACCCACTCTCACTTTTACTTGATGAGGCAGGGGATGCGTTAAATGTGGCACACCCGTTGTCAAGGCTCACCGTTTCTTTTCCAGCCAGCGTGTCCATGGTGATGCTGCCTCTCAGCCTTTCATCTGCCTCCAACTTCAACCCGTTCCACAGCTTTGGTAACCTTGGCTCCTTCATTAGACCCTTTACTCTTTAAACTGTAGCCGCTTTCCTGATGGCTCACATTCATAACTTTTTTTCAAAACGCCATTGTAACCACCCAGCTCATCCCTCCCAATGTGCCAATTACAGCAGCTAATGCATGGTCCTTGTCTTCAGAAAGCAGGCGGTTGGGAGCAGAGACAGAAGCGATTAGAGCCGCAATATGTTGGAGGAGCCATTAGAACAGAGAGGCAGACATGAATGCTGTCTGAGCGATAAAGGGAGGGGAGAGGAAATGAGAGAAGGTCCACATTGTTCACGTATTGAAGCAAGAATGCAGGTGGTATTCAGTGGGACGGATCAAATGTCTCCTAATGAGTCTGGCTTCAGTCGTCTGACCTTGCTTTA